TTTTTCTATCGGTATTATAAAAATATTCACCACACGACGTAAATGAACATATGGTTATAAATTCATTTTGACAGTTGACGTAATATCGATCGTAATTGTATTTCTTTAATATTTTCCGATATTAATTAATTATTTAGTGTACAAATAGATTTCGTATAAAAGAAAAAGTAATTTCTTAGGAAAAATAATGATAATCTCGGTGTTGTTAAGAGAGCCCTCGTAGCACCTCTAGCATTTGTCATATCATCATGCCTGAGCGCGCGAAATTTCAGCTCTGTGATTAGCCTACTTTAATCGCTACTAATTTAAAAACTATTATAGCCTCGACATTTTCGTATTAGGATTTTCGTCTTAGAATATTCTAAAGAATCCGCACTTAAAAGAAATCCGCGAGTTTTGTGAGCAGTTACTACCTTTTCAATTTCGGTCCTGCGATGTGACCAACTTCCGACTCTGGCATTGACGAGAGTACTATGATCAGATGAAAACATTACACGTCAATCGTCAACGCGAAAGTCGGAAGTTAGCTACATCGCAGGGCCGAAACTGAAAAGGTAATAGTCGCCCGTAAAACTTTAAATCAAAATAATTTGTATAATTTGTAAGATGGTGTCGTTATATCACACATCGTTGTATTCGTTAATAAGAACGCTACAACTTTTATCTATTAAAATTGTCACTTTACATTATAAAAATTATGTTTCTCCACTCTCTAACGTAGATAATGTTTTTAAATGATCACTATGCTTACAATAAAGTTTAGTCAGAGCCGTTTAATTTGATATTATATTTATTAGGTCTATCTCTGTTATTTACGAGATAAAAAGGGGTGGCCACTTATACGGGGACACCCTATATATATGTCGATTACCAGCAATGGATCCTTTCGATCCTTCAATTCGACGTTTCATAACAAAAGATGTATTCGAATGCGAGTATAGAAATTTTCCATCATTAATTGAATCAAAGTAATACCGCGCTATTCGTTAACCCGCTGGCGTGGAATGAATTTTATAACAGACCGGGCAGCATAAGTTGCCGCTGATGACCGTTTTGGCGAACAAAAGATAATGATAATACTGTTACGTTAGTATTAAAAAATTAAAATTATATATATATTATACATAAATTATGTCTATATATATTATTTGTAGGATATAATGTTTTATAGGATAACTTTAAATTATTAATAATAAAATTTTTTGCAGGTATGACACGCAGTGCTATCCTTTCCAAGATTCTTGCACTGTAAATGCCAAATTCGTGAAGGTTGAATGTTATCAAAACAACGAAGTAGTGTACAAAGATTATTACGCTTTCCTATCTCGTAAGTCTTCGGTAGAGGAAAGATGCAAACAGGCGCTGAGGACGGATCTGTTCCTCGACGATCGTCTCAGCGTTCTCGATGTCGGGCTCGACTCAGTCTTCAGGATGAACTTTCACAGGATGATGCCGAAGACCGTAAAGTCGCTTCAGTCCCTCGGCGCCGTGAAGATGTTGGACTACATCAAGGTCGCCGATAACACATACCCGAATCTCGTCCCGATGCTGAATGGTCTGAATCAGGCCGAGTTACGGAATCTCCGTCCGCTTTTGTGGAAGAGGTACAGTGCCGCTGGTTACCGTACAGTGTTCGGCGAGGACGCTTACAGCATGACCACATTCAACTACTTGAAACCGGGATTCCGCGAGTAGTGCGTTTTTTTTTTAAACAGAAATTAAATAAAAAGAACGATTTTATAAATGATAAGAGTCTATTATCAAAGAAAATCTGTAACAATGTGCCTAATTTTCCTTGTATTTTCACTTTGCAAAAAATTATTATTACATTAGAAAGTTTTTATTTTTAGTAGAACTCGCAGAATATTTCGTAATGTTTGATAATAAAATTTATGAAAAATAAAACTATAAAATTCTATGCGCTGATCTGAATGTTTACTAACTCTTCGAATTTTTACTTAAATCTTTAAGAGTATACTTTTAAAGCTTTAAACTTCTAAACAAAATTAATTAATATTAAAAAGAGATTAACCCTTTTACCTTTCAAGATAGACTTCTTATTGCGCGCGTTCCTCTCTTCGTTCACTTGCTTGTTTGCTTGCGTCGAGCAAAACAACTTTGCACTCGATAAATATATATATATTGTTGTGTGCCCTCCCGGTATTGCACAGCTGACAGGGAAATCAATATATTGATTTCCCTAAAGAAGTTGAAGATCGTTCCTGCCGGCTGGCGTTTGGTTTTTGGTTTACGCTTTACGTTTGACAGCTTGAGCTTTACGGTTGCATCGATTAATAAAGTTCTCGTTTAATTCTTCTTCCGTGTACTTATTCTGCGAGTGCG